TTGTCCTCTTCGTAGTAAAAGTGGAATCGCTGACGCGTACATTATAGGCGAAGTGGAACGCGATAATGGTGTGAAATGTGGCAGGGGACCGTGTGGTAATGAATGTTGATTCTTCTTGGACTGGCGAAAGAATTTCTTCGCGTCGGACGTTTCTCGTTATTGAGATAGAACGTAGCTTATGGTCAGGCTAATATCGAAGATGAATGTTGATTGTAATCTGCTGCGAACGCGATGGACTTTAAGAGCGTGGATACAAGCTGACGACAATATTCAATAAGTACGAGATATGGTAGGGAAATGGAGAGATAGATCTTTACGATAAATTCATCTTAGAGAGGAAAGCGATCTTTCACGTTTTTAAGATAAGTCGAGTGGAAACACCTGATGAACTCCTTGAATTGAATTTTCTTTTCTATTTTACAATTGAAAGTGAACATGATCGTTGCCAGAGCAATCTCCTTTCACTTTCTTTGTTAACGCGTTCGTTAATGACGAAACTTTGCTGGATGAAAACGCAAGTGTAATTGGTTCACTGAATCATCTATTTGGGAGCAACAGAGCCAGCATTGCGGAAGCTACGTTCGAAATTAATTCTACGGGGTGGTCTACGAATCTGCTTGTTAAAAAATTCGCGGCAACTGTTATGCAAGAAACGTGAGAAATTAGTAACAACGATTTGATACACCAGGTATACAACCGGTTGCGGTGCATCGATAATCTGTCAGCTGCGCTCTGTCAGAATCGCGATTTCCGCGCGTTACGCAGCCTACCGACACGTTATGGGAAAATCCAATCTGAAGTCATTGCTGCGCTCGGTAGCTGCTCGGTGCACGGGCTTAACTACAACCGCGTCTCTTCTTTTCCTTCCTGAAGAGAAGGCCCAACAGTCTCAGCGAGTTGACGCGACAATGGTCGTCGTCGAATTTTCTCACGACACGGCTCGTTATTTCTCCTGACCGAGGGCATATTTTATACTCCCTGCTTCGTCTATTGATATACGAGCCGAGCTGGCTTTCCTCCTCGCGAAAAAGGCCCGCGAACGCAGACGATGACACGCAGACCGATCTCGGCCTGCGTGGTTGGTGTCGCCGTGAGCGAGGCAGCGCGTGCACCCAATATTTTATTGGCCGCAGCCACCACTCGAGGTCGGCCGCGAACAATGCCCACCGTGCATTGTGCGAGCGCGGTGTGGTCCGTTCGATGGCTGATTTACCGCTCGTCTAATTTGTAGGCGGCCGCCATTAAACAATCCATAAATGCGTGCGCGTAAAACACTCCCGGAGTTCGGCTGAGAGCCGAGCCGCCGCTGACCAGACTCTCTGGCCAGGGGGATGCGCCAGTGTTCTGACTGGCAGTGTTTCGTTGTGTTGCGTACGCGCACCAGGCCGGACCACAGCGTTTTATTCATATTCAAATGGACGAGCTTTACGATCGCGCGAACGGGAGTTGTGAAAGCCGAGCGCCGCCGATAGGATTTGGCTTTTGTCCGACAGCGAACGTTCGCGTTTCCTGCTTTTCCATCGATCACGAGAATTTGAATGTGGGAGGGAAGTGATCGAAACTGCTTATTTAATATCGACCTGCAGTTTGTATAATGTGAAGTAATTGTTGGCGTAAAAATGTTCTTAAACATTCTGGCACTCTGAATCCTCATCTAGCGTGTTAGACGTTCTTTGGATCCGTTCTTTTTAATGTTTAGTAGATTAGCACTTGGAAGCACCGCGAGTCTGTCCTCTAGAAACAATAAGGCATCGATGCTTTAATTTCACCGTTTTCAGATGACCTACAACGTTCTTTGAATGTGATTGGCTAGATTGAACTAGCCTGTTCTAAGAAAACAGAAGAATCGCTAAGAATCTCTACATTTATCGAACACGAAGTGAAGTAGTCTCTGCAACTAAAAATTATCACTCTCTCACTCTCGGAAAATAAATATATCACTTATGGGAATAGCTGAGAAGCTCGTACGAGCAGTACAACCACAAGCAATAGCGATTATTGTGCAAGAATCACGCGTGAAAGATATAATTGTTCTCGGTAGTTGAAACTTGAAAGTTTCGCTTTTCTGTTTGACACACGTTACGCTCGAACGTAACCAGAAAGGGCGTAGGAGCGAGGCGAGAAAAGGTAATCCATTCCACGGATGGGATTCCAGTGGATGGTTTTCCGGAACGAGTTCGAGGCGAACCTATTGCTACCTGAAGCGAGCTTGCAATTGCCCATAAACACCATTACGACTAGCGGAGCAACTTACAGCGCACTTTGCCGGACTTATGACACGGCTATGTTTGAATTAGGTACTCGTTATCAGTATTACATTTCAACCAGCTCGTCCACATATTCTGCTAACCGACCTGGACACATTGGATGTAATTGAAAGAAAGGAGGGTGACAAACAGAGATAGATAGATAAAGAGAGAGAGAGAGGAGGAAGAAAGGAGGAAGTAGCTCAGTTACCCTTCCTCAGGGTCCTTAGCTCATGATCCTGTACGTAAATTGCGTGGTCGAGCTGAACGTTTGGCTCTCCGCGAGGTGCCATTACTCCACGGTGTGAACGCACGCTGATGGTTTCTGGATTAGAAATTCGTGCCCGCGCTATAGATCGTGAGGTTTAGGTTCGCGCCGTGTGTCTGGAGGCGTTGGGCAAAGAAGTTGATGAATTATCTACAGTGGGAAAAAGTGGCTATCAGCACTGGCGGAACGTCGCCGTTCTTGCTCGACTGAGGCGAGCTCTACAGGCACTTATGGATGAGAACGAGCGATAGGCCGATGATTTTAATAGTGTTCCCAATTAATTACGGCCGTGCAGAGCCTAGGGGTCTCGAAACACGTCGACCTCCCGTCCGATCTCGAGAGTATGAAAATTAGAACGGCGAACCGGTCGGGTTAATGGGGGCCTGGTGAACGAGGCAAACGAAATTTTCGCCTCGTTCTCGCGGGTTCTCGTCCCTCTGAACAAGGCTTTCCAGGGAGTACGTCGATCGCGCGATTTGTCCAAGTGTCGGAGTAAAGATGGAAATCTGCATAGACCGAAACGTTGCGAAATATATCTGTAACTTTACAAGATTTAGCAAGAAATTTTATGTATTATCTCGTCGTCTCGGTCATCTTCCTCGACCGCAAGAATCTAATGACTCTCCCTCCCGTTTTCCAGCGGTGCGTCGCTACCGTCAGATTTGCATCACGACTAGACGAAAGAGGACTTTTAAGGCTTCGCGCTTAAAGTTGGACGAACCCGTGAATGGTCTCGGCCCATAGACAAGTCTCAGACACTCGGTCGGCGACGCGTAACGCGACGTCGCTTATTGCCAATGCATTTTAAGTAGTCTATCGTACGGAACTCTCTAACGTGCATTGTGCACCTGTGTTGTCTGTGACACCGTGTTCTTCTTTCTCTCTCTCTCTCTCCTTCCCTCTGTCTCTCTTTCTCTCTCTATTTTTTCGGTAGACGTGCTAGGATCGAGCAAACGTCACGATACCACGGATTATCGTCTACTATTACCATTATTATTATTATTATTATTATTGTGGACGTGGTACGTTAATTTTAAGATATTTACGAGGTGTGTAATTGTGGGTAAGAACCCACCAACAGGTTATTTCCTTTGGATTTCCAATGATTCGATGACAGACGTCGGCCGTCGAGAAATTAGTAAGCACGAGTCGTGACGAATTTCGCTGCTGTTTGCGCTGTACGCAAGTATGTTTATGAAAGACGCGGACAACTCCAATTATGGACAAACGATCTAAATTCTACAGCTAAATAGATTGATGGCTGCGAAACGAGATGTTTGAAAATGAGAAAAATAGAAATAAAAGAGTACGAATGTCGGGGGGGAAGAACGTCTCGTTTCGTCTTTCTTTCCTGACGAATGTTCGCCAGGAACAATCAATTGGAGAGAAACTCTCGGTTAGCCGTGTCCGTAGCTCGGCGGAGAACGGGCGAGAACGATTGGCCGCATGCAAACAGCCCGGCTGATGAAGCCATTTTCCTGGTAGCTCTTAGAAATCACGCGACGAAATCTCTGACTTTAAGTAAGCATTGTATGGTAACCAACGCGGAATAATTGTATGATGCCTGCGAACAGACGGACTCCTCTTACAATGTTTTTATTCATTTCTCGCCACAATGGCCTTTGAGCCTCGATCGATGGTCATAGGGAACAATGATTCTCTGCGATACAGATCTACAATCGCTGCGTCGATTGCGGTTTCCTTCGAGCTCGCGCCCTCCGAACGTATGAAAATTCTGTCGTAGCGATTTGTATTATTCTCTACACCTTGGAAATTTACATGGGGGACAGGTAAGAAGAAGAGAGCAACGGTGTACCGAAAATTTATCTCGGA